TCCGCTCCTTTTACCTTCCCTTTTCCTCCCAGATTAACAAATCACATGTAAACTAGTAGCAAAACTCTTTAAATAGTCGTAGCCTACATATCGCTCAGGGCGATAGGTCAGGGTAAATAAATATAACTCAACTCAACTCAACTCTACTAGGCCGTATAGACGGCGGGCTATTCGTCCCGCCTACTACCCGTGCCGGACTAGACGATGTCAAACCCTAGTGTAGGCGCCGTTTAACTGCTGCTGCTACTACGAGTACTATATACGTGAGTATTGCGACTGGCAAACTGGTGCTTGTTTATTGCATCACCCTAGATTAAGAAATATCAAACCGACTAAAGACTTCCCTCTCGGCCTGGCTAAATTCCCGCAAAACCGTCTCCCTAATAGCCTTAGACCGGACTTCGGGCTTGCAACCGTAGTCTTTTGCGCAGTACAAGAACCCATGGTGATATCCAGTTACCGGATCAGGATCCACGGGTTGCGGCAAGCCATGTGTAGTCTGTGGCTCGAACTTGAAAGCCCAGATAAGCTTGGCAATGGATAGAAGCATGTTTCGCTCGGCTAGGTACATGCCGGGACAGATGCGCCGCCCAGCACCGTAGCCGTAGTGATCTCTCTTCTGCCAGTCGCCGCCTGCGACGTATTCAGGGGCGAGTTTGGGGTGGTCGCAGTACCTGTCCGGGTTGAACTTCTCAGGCTCGTCCCACACGTTCGGGTCCATGTGCATGCCCCAAACATTGAGGATAATAATTGTTCCCTTTGGAAGGAACTTGCCGTCTACCCAATCATCTACAAGTCGTGTCAGAGAACCAAACGCCACAAAGTAGCCGTAACAGGACTTACCTTGGCCCAGAGCATGCGGGAAACAAAGAGGCAAGATTGGTCGCCAGCGGTGTCCTTCTTTCACAATCATGTTGATGTAAGGAAGCTTGTCCATGTCTGACCACTGCGGAGACCTGTCTTCCCCGACCACTGTCGCGATTTCGCGGTAGGCCTTCTCTTGAACTTCTGGGTTCAGGATTAGCGCCTGAATGATCGCTAGGATAAGGGATGATGATGTGTCGGAGCCGCCCTCCATGAGCACACCACCAATAAACCGTAATTGGTCTCTCGGCAGTTGAGTCTTTTCCTGCTGATCAAGGACCACGTCCATGAAAGAACCAGCATTACGGACCTCGCGCCGCTTCAACACATCCTGTAGAATGTCCTCGTATAACGACTCCATCTGCTTCCCAACAGCCAAGGAGCGGGTCTTATAGTTGCCGAAAATCTTCTCGGGTATAGCTTTCAGCCAGGGGAAGATATCCACAGGAGGAGTGTTTCCTGTTTCCATTATCTCGGACCACGACTCCATTAACGTGTACAGGCGTCGCATGTACGTCGCTCTGGCATGTGGTGTTCGAATTCCAAAGACTAGATTATCAGCCTGGCCCAAGTGTAGGTGCTATACGGGACAGTCCTACCGATGGAGTTGCTAATACTGTTGCTGAACCGCTTCGGATGCAGCATATGGTCCTCAGGGAAGAGCATGTAGTCACGCACGAGCTGGACAGCTTCGGCGTTGACAAGGGGTAAATGCACCCGCTCCACCATGTTCTCTGTCAGATGCTGGTGAATAAGACGTCGAAAAGTCCGCCACTTATCTCCATAAAACATAACCAGGAGATGGTTGCCCTTCGTAATCAAATCGTGGGAGACGTAGGACGGCGGTCGGTGGCTGTAGATATTGCTTCTCTTATCTACGGTAGACTTGACGATCCTACGATCCGTAATCACCGCCATGGTAGCATTTCCGAGCTTCAGTGTGAAGAGGCCTCCATACTGACGGGCCCATTCGGTAAATCTGTATGCCATGAGCTTCCTATCCGCCCTGGGCCACAAGGGACCTTACTTGACATGGGTGTAGGACTTCGGCATCTGATGTAGATTTCCGATGAATGGCAAGGTCCTTGGCCCTATATGGATTTGTAAATCGCTAGCGCATGGAGTCTTTCATACAGTACTTACCGATGGGCATATCTTTTCTTCGATGCCCATACTTGAATGCGCCGTATACCATGTACAGTGCGAAGGCAATCGCCGAGAAAAAAAGCATAGTAGTCATGTTGAACACAGACGCCGTAGAGTTTACGATAATCGTTTAACCACGGCGATTAAGATGTTTATAGCTAGGTCTGACCTAGAGCATGCATGGGCGCTACCGCAGAGATGCGTCCCAATGGAGCGTTATGTCGGAGTACTTGACATGTTTGGTCACAAAAGGAGTTACTGGAGTGTGACAACAGTTCCGAAGAAGGTAAACGGGTAAACCGGAGTATGTCGACGAAACAGGTTTTGCTACTCCGCTTGTGCTACTTGCATCGAATCGAATTGAATCTTGCCGGAGCTGGTCCACAAAATCCCTCTTGCAGAACAGAAGGGTGACGTGGCCACGTATATATTTGAACCGGTAGGCGCCCGCCAAAAGCCAAACGCGCGATTCTTTCATGCAGCTAGCCATGGCGAGCCAGCGGGTTGACGTACATCATCATTTTGTACCATCATTCTACGTGCGGGGTATGCGGCTACGACAAACCCCGCTTTGAGAAATAATTGACTAATACCCCTTAGCATTGCAGGAAGGTGGCGGTGACCCCTCAGGATGGAAGGTCCCTGATTGGACACTGGACAAGGACCTCCAATTCAATGATGAGGAAGGAATCGCCTTTACTCTTCTCTCTATCACAGCGCCCGGCGCCGACATCCTTCCCCTCTCCAAACAAGCCAGCTTTTGCCGCGAGGCCAACGAGTTTGCAGCGCATGTCCGCTCTACCCACCCTACGCGCTACGGCTTCTTCGCCAGTATTCCTTCCCTGCTGGACCCAGCCTCCGCCCACAGCGAGCTTACCTACGCCCTGGATACCCTCCATGCTGACGGTGTCATCTTGTACACCCGCTATGGCTCCGATAATCACTACTTGGGTCACCCCGACTTTCGTTTCACGTGGGACCTTCTCGACTCTCGCGGCACAGTTGTTTTTGTCCATCCAACTCACCCAGTTGACACGGCCTTGGTGGACCCCTTCCTCCCTCAGCCAATGATTGACTACCCGCATGAAACTACCAGAGCGGCTGTCGATCTTATCGTCTCGGATACGCTGCGCTCGCACCCTAACGTCAAGGTCATCTTATCCCACGCAGGTGGCTCGCTACCTTATCTTGCATTGCGACCGGCGGCCATGCTGCCCTACATCCCGTCCGCGGAAGGAGCCGATGGTCACAAAAAGTCCACTAGAGACTTCCTGGAAGAAGCCAGAAGCTTCTACTTTGACACAGCGCTGTCGAGCAGCCATTTAACACTGGAGTTGCTGAAGGGATTCGCAAAGCCGGGGCACGTTCTGTTTGGGAGTGATTTTCCGTACGCGCCAACGCCGGCGATTCGACTGATGAACAAATTGGTTAACGATTATGAGAAGAAGGAAGCGGCTTACGCACGTGCTATCAACACTAGCGCAGCTGTGGCGCTGTTCCCGAGGCTTGCAAAGGTGTTGGACACTGGCGCAAAATCCGTTTAGCGTTTGTAGTTTGGAATCTGGTACCAATCATATGCGTTATTCTGTGTAGCAATCATGCATGTGCTTATCCCCACGGTCATTAGTTTAAAACAATCGCACTGTCGTACGGTGTGACTGCGAATCATCTTCTGGTGCGCCTAACGGTTTGTAATCTACCATTGTGTAAAACCTTTAAATAGTAAAATAGTAGTGTTGCAAAGGTTACGACATACCAATTAAAACAGGACGTTAGCTAATGCTATTTGTGAAGGAAAGATGAGTTTTTTTTGTGAGGCTAAAAAGTAAAGACTGTGCATCTATGGTAGATATGGATGCTGTAGTCTGTATTCATTCGTAGTCTTCAAAAACCTCCTGAGCCTCCTCAAATTCTCTTCTGATAGTCTCAGCTCTCTTTTCCGATCTGGGAGTAATCATACATTTATAGTCCCGGACGCACTGCAGGAAGCCGATACTCGACTCGACCTGGCCATTATCATCCGGACGCTTCCGGAAGTCAAAAGCCCAGAGCAGCTTTGCCATAGCAATGAAGAGATTTCGTTCCGCAAGGTGGATCCCAGGGCACACACGGCGCCCGGCACCGTACCCGAAGTGATCGCGGCCTGGACCGTCGCTTGTATACTGAGACGCGAGCTTCGGGTGGCTCTGGAAGCGCTCAGGCATAAAATCCTCTGGCTTCTCCCAGCGCTCCTCGTCGTGGTGCATGGCCCAGACGTTGAGCACAACGGTCGAGCCTTTGGGTATGAAATGGCCTCCAACCCAATCGTCTACTTTCATGTCAGCAGCTATTTGGCATATGGTCGATGCGACGCACCTTCGGCCACTGCATGAGAAACACCTAGTGGGCTAACGGGACGCCAACGGTGACTTTCTTTAATCATCATGTTGATATACGGGAGTTTAGCAAAGTCGGCCCACGTCGGGGACCTGTCTTCGCCAATGGCCGCATCGATCTCGGCTTGGGCTCTTTGTAACAGGTCAGCGCAGTGAGGGCAAAGAGGAGCGCTTTGCTTACCTCTTTTGAACTTCTGGAAACTCAATCATTGCTCGGACCATTGCGAGTATAAGAGAAGACGAAGTGTCCGAGCCGCCTTCCATGAGCACCCCGCCGAGGAAGTATAGTTTGCTCCATGAAAGACCGTTTTTCTCGTTCTGGTCCAAGACACGGTCAATAAAGGATCCTTTGTTTAGGCCCTGCGCGCGTCTGTTGATAACCCGATCCAGCACCTCGGTGTAAAGACCTGTCATTAGGTCGCCAACGCGAGTAGCACGCGACTTCCACCTGCCAAGGAACTTCTCTGGGATCAACTTGAGAAGCGGGAAGGAGTCAACTGGCGGTGTCGCGCCAAATTCCAGAATTTCGCTCCATTCGTTCATGAGCGAGAACAAACGGATCATGTAGTCGCTGTGGTGCGTCTTCGTCCTGATACCGAAAACTTCGAGAAATTAGTTATGAAAGACAATATCTTTGAGCGTCACGTACCAAGTGAATTAGTAATGCTGTTGCTGTAGCGCTTGGGATACTCCATGTGATCCTGGGGGGCAACCAAGAACTCATGCATCAGCTGTGTAGCTTCAGCATGCTGAAGCCGGAGATGTTGCTTCTCGCACATGGGTTCCATGAAGTACTGATGGATCAGCTTCCTAATGCGCCTCCATTCGTCCCCGTACTGCATCAGGAGCAAATGGTCTCCGTGAGTGATAAGATGGCCAACGTGAGAGACTGGACGGTGACTGTATATACTGCTTTTCCTATCCAGCAGTTCTTTAATCATGTGGGGGCTGGATATAACAAAGGTTGTGTTGGTAAAGCGCTTGAGCGTGTAAATGCCGCCGTATTGCTTCGCCCATTCCGTGAAACTGCCCCTGTCAGTCTGGATTATAGTTTAGGGTTGATGGAAACATACATGAAGTGCGCATTGTTTTTAGGAATCAAGTGCTCATTTCCAAGAACCGGCTTCGTATGAGGTCCTACAAGTTTGGTGAGTAACTGAATAGTAGTTCACGGGAGTCGCGCTACCTGGAGGCATGTCAGGGGCCCGTCGGCCCAGTTTCAGCAGGCGAAACAGCGAAATCAAGGCCAGAGATAAAAGAGCAACACAAGCAGTGCCGTACATCATAATCAAGTCCATGATGCTACATGCGATTATGATACCAGCAAAAGAACTGGTTTGTCTTGTATTTTTGAGGATGTGAGAATTTGCGCAATGAAGCCACCGGAAGGAAAGCGATAGAGGCAATCAAAACTCTACAAGGCAGTCACTGCAGTATCAGTTACTCATGCCATAACGGGAATAGAGGAGAATGGGCTATCGGAGTATGAAGCCTAGCTGTTTCCGGACTCCAGCTTCTCCGACCGCATGTGTAGCATGAAAAGCCTTGAACTGATCTAGTAAATGCATTTAAAGCGCACTCCGAGTGGATTTTCTACGGTAGCCAGCAATGAATTAGGTTAGGTTGATGATATTTTCGGGTAAGTGCTCCCCCGCAGTCGTTCCTGACCTCCGGTTTCTCCGCTTACTCCACTGATTACTCCTTTTAGTTATCCGACAAGCTGATACTGGACATCACATCCTGGTTGCTGGAGAAAAAGGGCACAGACCTGTCAACGCACTGTTTAATCATTAACACTAAGAATACGAACAGAGGTATACGAAAATCACGGCAAAGCCTCATAATTAGACGTGAGCAGGTCAATGTGAGTGAGCGACAGCGAAGTCATCATGTCCGGCTAAAAGGCCACCCTGATATTTTTTGGAGAATAATAAAAACTGTTCGCTGCAATTAATGTACGGTAATGATTTATGAAACGCCGCCTCAAAGCAGTATGAGGAAACCTCGCGGTTCTGTGTTCGTGCATCAAAACACTCATGCTCCATCGCCCTTAGGATGCCATGCTTGAAGTCAATGGGCCTCAAATATTCTTGTAGTGAGCATAGCCGTTTGGCAGTGGGATTTTCAAAGACAAAGCGTCTATTTAGAATCGGTGGATGCGATATTCTTCAAGTCACAAATTCCTCGGCAATCAATACATAAAGCAACAGGTTGACTATGGCAATCTAATCCTCAGAAACTGTTTCCCTTACCGCTCTAGCCTTCACACCATTGACCACCGGCTTGGTAGCATGACCATTTGTGAGCAGCGGTTGCTCGGTCAGATCAACCGTCCACTGCTCGTACTCGGCATTCAAAGGCTTGCCTTGGTCGAGAGCGACCTGCTCCTCCCACGGCTTGGCCTTGCTGTACGACTCCTCAACCAGGTGGCGCTGGAACCACGAGCCTTTCATCTTGGCCACGGCGTAGTCCCAATCGGTAGTGTACTCCTTGAAGAAAGGCTTGTACCCCAGCAGGCCACCAAGCCAGCGACCGAGAGCAACGCTCCCCCAGTATCCGATGAAGCGGCGGAACGGCACCCACTTTGGCGGCACCGAGTACGCGTCGCCACCATCTTGGATCTGGACGTGCGGGGTTAGCTGGAGCGATGCATGCATTTCCTGACACCAGCAGAAAGAGGGAGGAGGCTCACGGCCAAATATTGGATAAAGTTCAATTTCCCGTCGTGCAGCAGCGCATCGTGCCAGTAGCCGTACCAGTTCTCGAAGAAGATGCGATCGAGCTGGTAGTCCATGCCGCTGTCGGAGGCGCTCAGATACACCGTCATCTCGCCAGGCGAGTCCGGGTGGATATAAAAGCGGTGCACGCTTCCCGCCTTGACGGAGATCTCGCCATCCTCGGGGTAGACCTTCTTGTGGACGCCGTCGACCTCGATGCCCATGACGCCGGACTCGACGCGAAAGTACTCGGACTGGAACTGATGGAAGTGGAGCAGCGGGCCCTTGGGCCGCTCGGGAGAATCGATCAGCCGCCGCAGGTTCTCCGGAATTTCGCCCTCGACCGTGTGTTTGTATGTCTGCCGGAAGAGGAAGCACCGACCCGGTGGCGGCTCCAGAAATTCCGTGGTCAGAAGGCCGCCGAACCTGTATGCTTGTGTAAGCGGGCTTCATTTGTTGAAGTGTGCGGCGCATGCCTAGGTATGCATACTTTACGACTTTGGTCTGGCCAGCAGACACATGGTAGGGCACGAAGGGGCGGAAAAGCGGCATTTTGGTTTGAGTTGCAAGCGTATTCGAGTACCTAGCGACTGTAGTTTCCACGAGCCCGCCTCAACGAGCTCGCCTGTCACAATATATCCGTCGGACAAAGTCTCGAATCTCATGACCGAAGCGGGCACCTCGATGGCCTCCAGAAAGGCGTTCGGAAAATTTTGTGGAGCCGCAACTCCAGCCGGGGCCCGAATAGGAATTTCCCGGTCGGGGAAAGCCTCCCTCCCGCTGTGGATCCCAACAAGGCTGAAATGGCAGCGGAGCCCTAATCTGTTCCATAGGGGCCAAAACGCCTCCGCGTCTTGCCGGATGGGGCCCTGGGAGCTGGCTGTTCCGTCCACCGCCCAAGACAGCAAATCTACGACTTCGATCTACTTTGAAAGCATGCATATGCATGCATATATCAAAGGTCAATGTCACAATGTACTGGGACGGCATCATCAGCTCGTCAGGCAACTTGAGCACCTCAACCAGGAGAGCACCACCTTCAGACAATACATTATTAGATTTCTTTTTTCCATCTTTGTTTAGATTTTTCCGGCTCAAACACCACAATGGAGACTCCACGCCCTTCCACTCCCCCCCTCAATGAGCGCTCCTCTGGAATCTCGACGCCAATTATCTTGGACAGCCCATCCAGCAGCAGCGAGCACGGGGGCCTTGTAAGAGCGCCCACTTCCTATCCTCACACGGTGCAGTTGAGCTAACGCGGTGCAGGCCGAGTCCAACGACGTCGCCGTCGTGGGCATGGCATGCCGGGTCGCCGGCGGCAACCACAGCCCCGAACAGCTCTGGGAGTCCATCCTTGCCAAGCGCGATGCCTCGTCCGAGATCCCGCCCATGCGGTGGGAGCCGTACAAGCATCGGGACGTGCGCAACGTGAAAGAGCTGCAGAAAACGACGAGGCGCGGCTACTTCCTCGATGCGCTTGAGAACTTTGACCCCGCCTTCTTCGGCATCTCGCCCAAGGAGGCGGAGCAGATGGACCCACAGCAGCGCCTCTCGCTCGAAGTTACCTGGGAGGCGCTCGAGAACGCGGGCATTGATCCTAAAGCGCTGTCCGGCTCCGACACGGCCGTCTTTATGGGCGTCAACTCGGACGACTACAGTAAGCTGCTGCTCGAGGACCTGCCCAACGTCGACGCGTGGATGGGCATCGGCACAGCCTACTGCGGCGTACCGAATCGGATCTCGTACCACTTGAATTTGATGGGCCCCAGTACGGCCGTGGACGCCGCGTGCGCCAGCTCGCTCGTGGCCATCCACCACGGCCGCCAGGCTATCTTAACCGGCGAATCCAAGGTCGCCATCACGGGCGGCGTGAACGCGCTTTGTGGGCCGGGTCTGACACGCGTGCTGGACAAGGCCGGAGCCATCTCACCGGATGGGTCGTGTTTGTCGTTCGACGAAAGCGCGCACGGCTACGGGCGAGGAGAAGGTGCCGCGGTCGTGGTGCTGAAGCGTCTGGGTGACGCCATCAGAGAAGGAGACAACATTATCGCCCTGTTGAAAGGATCAGCCGTTGCGCAAGACGGCAAGACGAACGGCATCATGGCGCCCAACGCCAAGGCTCAAGAGCTCGTTGCGCGCCAGGCCCTGAGCCAGGCCAAGATCGAACCTGCCACGGTCGAGTACGTCGAGGCGCACGCGACGTCGACGCCTCTGGGCGACCCCACCGAAGTGTCGGCCATTTCGGCCGTCTACGGCGCCGACAGGCCCAAGCCAGTCATGCTCGGCTCCGTCAAGCCAAATGTGGGCCATCTCGAGGCCGGCGCGGGGGCCGTTGGCTTCATCAAAGCCGTCTTGGCCATGAACAAGGAGCAGTTCCCACCCCAGGCCAACCTGACGAAGCTCAACTCCAAGGTCGACTGGGCCAAGTCGGGCGTTGAGGTGGTGCGCGAGGCTGCTGCGTGGGCCACGAGCGGCTTGAATCTTCGTCGCGCGGCCATTTGCTCCTATGGATACGGCGGCACTGTCTCGCACGCCGTCATCGAACAACGACCCTTTGACATGGTACCGGAACAGAAGTCTCCTCATGGCCCCGTCATGCTCGTCATCTCGACACCGCAGGAGAAGAGGCTCTCTACGCAGGCCACTGCTCTGGCGGCGTGGATGACGGGCGCTGGAAAGAAAGAGCCGTTAAGCTCCATTGCCCACACGCTGGCTCTACGTCGGGCGCACCACGACTACCGCGCTGCGTTCGTCGTTGAAAGCCACGAGCAGGCTGCCGAGGCGCTCAACGCCTTTGCGGCCGGCAACAAGACCGAGTGGAGCTCACAGGATGTTGCCCTCGCGCCTACTGCCAGAAAAGACGTCGTTTGGGTCTTCTCCGGCCACGGCGCTCAGTGGAAGGATATGGGCAAGGAACTCATCAAGAACCCCGTCTTCCACAAGGCCATTGCACCTCTCGACGCCATTACGAAGAAGGACGCGGGCTTCTCGGCCATCGATACCCTCAGCAGCGGCCAGTTTGAGGAGTCGGACAAGGTGCAAGTGCTGACGTACGTCATGCAAATCGGACTCACTGCACTGCTCCGGTCCAAGGGAGTGAGCCCGCATGCCGTCATCGGGCACTCGGTGGGTGAAATCGCGGCTTCAGTGGTAGCCGGCTGTCTGACGCCCGAAGAGGGCGCCCTGATAGTCTCGCGAAGGGCTCGGCTCTACGCCCGCGTCAAGGGCCAAGGAGCCATGTTCCTCGTGAACCTACCCTTCGAGCAGGTCAGGAGCGAGCTCGGCGACCGTGACGGCGTTGTCGCGGCCATAGACTCGTCGCCGTCGTCGTGCGTTGTCAGCGGCAAAGCCGAGGCGGTGCAAGCGTATGCCGACACGGTCAAGCAGCGCGGCATCAAGGCTGCCAAGGTTGCCACCGACATTGCCTTCCACGCGACAGGGATGTTGACGCCGCTGGCTGCTCCGTTGGCGGCGGCGCTGGTGGGCGATATCAAGCCGCTCCCGGCGTCGGTGCCGCTCTACTCGACGTCGGACGGGAACCCGCGGTCCGATGCGGCGCGGGACGTCGAGTACTGGGTGCGCAACATGGTCAACCCGGTACTTCTCACGTCGGCGGTGCGGGCCGCCATGTCGGACGGATTCAAGCTGTTCCTCGAGGTCTCCAGCCACCCGATCGTGTCACACTCGATCAACGAGACGGCCATGGACGACGAAGACGCGGCCGTCCTCCCCACGCTCCGGCGCAACAAGCCCGCCGAGACATGCGTGCAGCAGGCCGTGGGCGCGCTGTACGTCAAGGCGGCCAACGTCGACCTCGGCAAGCCGCTCGGGCGGCACTGGGCGCCCGGGGTGCCCGGCACGCAGTGGGCGCACAAGGCCATCTGGCGCAAGGTGGAGACGGGCAATCCCCTGACAGCCGGCAGCCTGACGCACGACGTCGACAAGCACACGCTGCTCGGCCTGCGGAGCGTCGTGGCCGGCACCGACACGGTGCTGTACACGACCAAGCTCGACAACAACACCAAGCCCTTCCCGGGCAGCCACCCGCTGCACGGCACCGAGATTGTGCCCGCAGCGGCCCTCGTCAACACCTTCCACCACGCCACGGGCGCCGATACCTTGTCGAATGTCGTGTTGCGCGTGCCCGTGGCCATCAACGCCCCTCGCGACGTCCAGGTCGTCGTGGTTGGCGACACGGTCAAGATCGCATCGCGTCTGCAGCAGAGCGGCGACGACCAATCGTGGGCCACACACACGACGGCGCACTGGAGCGCCAAGAAGGCAGCGGACGAGGTGGACGAGGCGGCCGAGGTGGACATTTCGGCCTGCAAGCAGCGCATCGGCACGGCGCTGCCGGCCAACTTCTCCATCGACTACCTGGACAAGGTGGGCGTGTCGGCCATGGGCTTCCCCTGGGCCGTGACGGAGCACTACGGCAACCTCAAGGAGATGATTGCGCGCGTCGACGTGGCGCCGGGCGTCGAAGGACTGCCATGGGACGCGGCGTCGTGGGCGCCCATACTCGACGCGGCCACGTCGGTGGGCTCGACCATCTTCTTCGACCAGCCCAGGCTGCGCATGCCGGCGCAGATTGAGCGGGTGCGCTTCCTCGCGCCGTACGGCACCGCACCGCCCAAGACGGGCTGGCTGCATGTGCAAGACGCGTCGGAGCGCGGGGCGCCCGCCGTGCACGTCAGCGTGTGCGACGAGGCGGGCTGCGTGCTCGTCAAGTTCGAGTCGATGCGCTTCTCCGAGATCGAGGGCACGCCGGGCGTCAGCGGCAGCGTCGAGAGCCTCGTGCACAACCTCGCGTGGGTGCCCGCCTCGTTTTCCCACAAGCCCATGCCGTGCGAGTCGGTCGTCCTGGTGTCGGATGACGCGGCCATCCTCGACAAGTACGCAAGGCAGCTCGCGCCTCATTCCAAGCGCATCGTGCAGTTGCCCGACGCCGCCGCCTTGCAAGCAGTGCATGTCGCGCCCAACACGGCCGTCATCTACTGCCCTGGTCCGGCCGCCTCTCTGGCCGACGTCCCCACCAAGGCCGAAGCATTCATCGCCGAGCTGCTCGCTCTCACCAAGCATCTCGTGTCCTCCAGCGGTGCAAACAACCACAAGCTCTTCGCCATCACCACGGCCGTCGCCGATGCCCAAACGCCCACGGCTCTCGCCCACGCCCCGCTGCACGGCCTCGCTCGCATCATTGCCTCGGAGCACCCCGATCAGTGGGGCGCCCTAATCGACGCCGAGCCCGATGCTCCCTTCCCCGTCCTCGCGCTCAAGTACGTCCGCGACCAAGACGTCGTGCGCGTCCAGGACGGTCTGCCCCGCGTCGCCCGCTTGCAGCCGCTGCCGCGCGACCGGCTGCAATCGACAACGACGCTGCTCCCTCGCCCCGACGGCACCTATCTCATCACCGGCGGCCTGGGAGCCCTGGGCCTCGAGGTCGCCGCCTGGCTGGTCGACAAGGGCGCTCGCCGCGTGCTTTTGGCTTCGCGGCGCGGCCTGCCCCCACGCAACGAGTGGCATCGCCTGCCCGCCGACGACGCCCGCCGCCAAGCCGTGCAGCGCATCGCAAGCCTCGAGCAGGCGGGCGCGACGGTGCACGCGGTCGCGCTCGACGTGGGCGCCGAGGGGGCGGCTGACGCCATCGTGGCCGCGCTGCAGCGCCTGGACTTGCCCCCCGTGCGCGGCGTGGTGCACGCGGCGGGCACGCTCGAGGACCAACTCATCCTCGAAACGACGGGCGACTCGTTCTCGCGCGTCCTCGCGCCCAAGGTCGCGGGCGCGCTGGCCCTGCACGCGGCGTTTCCGCCCGCGACGCTCGACTGGCTCGTGCTGTTCAGCTCGTGCGGGCAGCTGTTCGGCTTCCCGGGGCAGGGCAGCTACGCCAGCGGCAACGCGTTCCTGGACGCGCTGGCGACGGCTCGACGGGCGCAGGGAGACCGGGCCGTCGCGGTGCAGTGGACCAGCTGGCGCGGGCTGGGCATGGCGGCCAGCACCGATTTCATCAATGCCGAGCTCGAGAGCAAGGGCATCACCGACATGACCGTCGACGAGGCGTTCCGCGCGTGGGAGCACCTGGGCCGCTACGACGTCGACCACGGCGTGGTGCTGCGCAGCCGGGCGCTGGACGCGGACGAGGCGCTGCCGGCGCCCATCCTTGCGGACATTGCCGTCAGGCGCATGGGATCGGCAGGCGGCGACGGGGCCGAGGGTGGGGGCGAAACGGGCGGGAGCGGGAGCGGGAGCGGGAGCGGGAGCGAGATGCCGGCGGGAGAGGCGGAGCGGAAGGCGTGGGTCGAGGCCAAGATCCGGGCCATCCTCGCCGAGGTGCTGATGCTGAGCGGGGCCGACGAGGTCGACGGGCGCGCGGCGATCGCGGATCTGGGCGTCGACAGCGTCATGACGGTGACGCTGCGGCGCAAGCTGCAGGGCGCGCTGAAGGTCAAGGTGCCGCCGACGCTGACGTGGAGCCATCCCACTGCGAGGCACCTGGCGGCGTGGTTTTCCGAGCGTATACGTAGTATGTAACTAGCACTCGACTCCGGTTCCTCCATGCGGCAAAGCCCCCGCAAGCATGCAATATTAAATCCCTTGCGACTGTGACTGCGAGACACTTACCACGACTTCCATACACGATGCCCAGGATCCTCCTCACCGGCGGCAGCGGCTTCATCGCCACCCACGTCCTCGAGACGCTGCTGGCCCGCGGCCACTCGGTCGTGACGACGGTGCGCAGCGCGCAAAAAGGCCGCCGCATCGTCGACGCGCACCCCAGCGTCGACTTTGTCGTTGTCGAGGACATTGCGCGCGCCGGCGGTAACTTCGCACCTTCGCTTTCGGCCTTCTTTGAATCCATTGACTGACTGACTCGCTGCAGCCTTCGACAAGGCCGTCATGGCCTCGCCGCCTTTTGACGCCGTCGTGCACACGGCCAGCCCGTACCACTTCCACGCCAAGGACAACAAGAGCGAGCTCCTCGAGCCGGGTGCGTAGTGGCGGCACCCACCCACCTACCTACCTACCTACCTGGGCTGACGCATCAATACTCACAGCCGTCAACGGCACCGTCGGCTTGCTGCAGGCCATCAAGAAGCACGCACCCTCGGTCAAGCGCGTCGTCATCACCTCATCCTCGGCCGCCATCCTCGACCAGGCCCAGCCCACAAAGACCTTCTCCGAGGCCGACTGGTGCCCCGTCACCGAGGAGCAGGCCCTCGTCGGCCCCGCCAACGGCTATCGCGCCAGCAAGACCTTTGCCGTACTTGCCACTTCCCTACCGTACCAATACACAAGATTTTGACTCGCTCGCACCACAGGAACGCGCGGCTTGGAACTTTGTCGCCGACGAACGTCCCAACTTCACCCTCGCCGTGGTACGCAATTCCCAGCACCAGGAGATGGAGATGGAGAAAGAGAAAGAAAGAGGAAAAAAAAAAAAAAAAAAAAAAAGGAAAAGGAAAAGAAAAAAACCTAATAACTGTTGACTAACTCATCTATTGCGCAGTGTAACCCGCCCCTTGTCCTCGGCCCCGTTCAGCACCATCTCGACTCCCTCGCCGCCCTCAACACGTCCAACCAACGCATCCGCGACCTCATCACCGGCGCGGCCAAGGCCGCCTGCCCTCCGACGGGCAACCACCTGTTCGTCGACGTGCGCGACCTGGCCCTCGCCCACGCTCTGGCCGTCGAGTCGCCCGCCGCCGCGGGCCAGCGCTTTTTCCTCGTCGGCGGCAAGTTCTCCAACAAGGAAATCGTCCAAATCATCGCCGCTGAGTTTCCCGAGCTCCGGGCCAAGCTGCCCGAGGGCGACGCGCTGAAGCCCGGCGATTATCCCGAGAGAGGCTCGTACGGGTTCGATAGCTCCAAGGCGAAGGAGGTGTTGGGGCTCTCGTTTAGGCCATTGAGGGATAGCGTGGTGGATGCAGTAAGGAGCCTGCAGGCGCTTGGCGCGTGAGGGGATGACACAGGAGATCGATTTGCGTACCGGCAGATAGACGCATGGCCAGAATTGGAAATGTAGAACGTTGCAACAGTGTCGTCTAAACTCCGAGTCTCCAGCCCACTTGCCGAATCGACGTCCTGCGAAAGCTTGTTTCTTGAGAGATCTTCGAGGCTCCGGAGCTCCATTTGGAACTGATCGGGGGCTCCGGAGCCTCAAGCCGCGTCGGGAAATGCCCTGGTTTCCGCGTGCGTAGTAGTCTCGGAGGGAGGGCATGATGGCAGAGCAACCGGAGTTGGATCGCAACATGCGGGGAACGACAGTGGCACTGTGTTCCAGACTCGACTCCGGCTCCCTCGTCTCTCTCTGCCCTAATGCCACTGTCGGCCATGGAAATGTTGGGTAAGAAGGATGAAAAGGAAGGAGCACGACTTATAGCGCAAGGCAGGCAGACTCCCTCTCAACAGCCGCAATCATCATGTTCTTCCCATTGGCCCTTTTGGTCCTAGCCCATCAAGTCGCGAGCAACCAGACATGCCGCTGCATCCCCGGCGATGCATGCTGGCCGAGCGGCTACGAATGGGCGCGCTTCAACGCCAGCATCGGGGGCAAGCTTGTCGCCTCGCAGCAGCTCGCGTCGGTCTGCCACGACCCCACCTACGACGCGGCGCAGTGCAACTACATGCGCCAGAACTGGATCCAGCCTTGGCTGCAGTGCGTACGGCCCTTCCCTCTGAGCGAACAACGTGTGTGACTCGGGCGGTGTAGTGATGCTTCGTCGTCGTCGATCATGGCGGCGGCCGTCGCGAACGAGAGCTGCGACGCATTTACGCCGCGGGCGCAGCCCTGCGTGGCGGGCAGCACCGTGGCGTACGCGGTGAAGGCGTCGGACGCGTCCGACATTGCGCAGACCATCTCTTTCGCGCGCAGCAAGAACGTCCGGCTGGTTGTCCGCAACACTGGGCACGAGTAAGTGGTGGTTGTTGTTGTTGTGGAGGTTGGGCAGTGCTGACGCAAACAGCTACATGGGCAAGTCGACGGGCGCGGGGGCGCTCGCGGTGTGGACGCACCACATGAAGAAGACTGAGGCGGTCTGGTACAACAGCACGCATTACAGCGGGCGGGCGATCAGGCTCGGGGCCGGGGTGCAGGTGGAAGAGGCGTACGAGGCGGCCGGACGGGCTCGGGCGGTCGTGGTGGGCGGAGACTGCGACACAGTGGGCGTGACGGGCGGGTACCTGCAGGGCGGCGGGCACAGCGCGCTAAGCTCGCTGCACGGCATGGCCGCAGACGCCATCCTGGAGTGGGAAGTCGTCGACGGGCGCGGCCGCTTGCTCACCGCGACGCGCCACCACCACCGCGACCTGTACTGGGCCCTCTCGGGCGGCGGCGGCGGCACGTACGGCGTGGCCGTGTCGGTCGTGGTGAAGGCGCATGCCGACACGCCCGTAGCGGGAGCCCAGCTGCGCTTTGGCTCCGTCGACGCGCCCGCGTTTGACGCCGCAGTGGCCAAGTACCACGACCACCTGCTGCCCGCCCTGACGGCTGCCAACGGCACCGCCATCGCCCAGATAACAAGCTCGACGTTTCTGCTGAGCCCGCTGACGCTTCCGGGCGCGACCAACGGGACGGCACACACGCTGCTAACACCGCTGCTAAACCACCTGGACGCGGCAAACATCCCCTACGACCTCAACCTCACCCACTCGGCCTCGTGGATCGACCACTGGCGCCGTCTGATCAAGCCCAACCCCACCCAGCGCGTGCAAAACGCCCAGTACGGCGGCTGGCTGGTGCCGCGCGACGTGCACCCCGCTGACCTGCGCCGCCAAGTGCGCACCATCACCGACGCCGGCTGCGTCTTTGTCGCCATCGCCCTGGACGCTTCCCGCAACCATGCCGAAAACGCCGTGCTGCCCGCGTGGCGCACGGCGGCCATGAACGTCATCCTATCAACGTGAGGACTCCCGTCGTACCTAATCCATCCATCCATGGCGCTGACAAACCGCCCTAGGCCCTGGCCGCTGGCCGCCGACCTTGCGCAGATGAAGGCCCGCGCCGACCTCATGACCAAGACGTGCGTGCCGGCCCTAGCGCGCCTCGCTCCCGACGCCGGCGCCTATCTGAACGAGGTATGTGCGAGTACTCATCTCGGCCGCCAGCAAGCTAATTCTTGCCCAGGCCGATCCGAACCAGCCCGACTGGAAGCGCGCCTTTTACGGCGCCAACTACGACCGCCTGCTGCGCGTCAAGCGCGCGTACGACCCGCACGACGTCTTTTACGCCCATACCGCCGTGGGCAGCGACGCCTATCATCTCGATGCCGACGGCCGCCTTTGCAGAAGCTTGTAGTTAGTACATAGGAGGTGGAGGGGAATATGAAGAATAATGAGATTTGTACACTCGGGTTTCACCATGGGCTTCTACTCCGTACATATTCTCGTCTATCGTAACCATGTCAGCGTTGAAAACTAAGCACCGAGATACAGAGAACCAAATAACGTCCGTTACCGTAAAGCGAGATTCACCGGGAAGCGAGACGGTGATACTTGTACGGAGTAGAAGAAGAGACCTAGTTAAGGTGTGTAGAGTCTATACGTACTTTAAAAGCTTTTCACCCATATCTAGGATCCGCGCTAGGAGCTAGGTAAGGAGTACTCTATACGGACTGCTTATTATCGTCCCCTATCTAGCTATACGGTACATCTCGGTTCGCGGTGACGGACGTTACAATAAACATCTAATTAAGCCTATCCCAAAGTAGCTACTACTCTCTCCACTTCAACCCTCAGAACCACACGCAACCACCAAACGGATTCGCGCAAAACTGCTTCTTCCCCTCGGCCCAGAACGTCGACGTGGTAGCAAACGTATCCTCCATATACTGGAAATAGCTAATCAAGCCGTCGACGTTGATCTCTGCGCGGCAGGACCACGGAGCCGTGAGCGTCTTGCCCATGGTATTGGACGTGATGACGAAGTTGCCCCAGGCGGTGAGGTTGCCGGCGCCATCGGAGAAGACGGACTCGATGTTGAAGGGGCCGCGGGTCCACCACAAGCCGACGCGGGTGAAGGTGTCGAGGAAGGCCTGGGGGCCGACGCGGTAGCGGGTCCCGGCCCAGGGCAGGATGCGGTGCAGGTCCGGGTTGTCCTCGGTGAGGGAGACGTAGGTGGCGTCGAAGGCGACGAGGCTCTTGATCAGGTCCGGGTCCGGGTTGGGCTGCACGTTGAGGATCTGCAGGAACGTGTTCATGTGCGTCAGGGTGAGGTTGGCCGGGTCGAGGGGCGTGGGGCTGGTGTAGCGCTTGGCGAACTGGTGCAGCTTGGCCGTGTCGTTGAGGAGCTCGTTGACGGGGATGGCGGCGCTGCCCGTGATGGACAGCAGGACGAGAGCGATTATGGCGCTGGCGAACCTCATTTTGATGGCGCGTGGAGACTCGAGGGACGAAGCAAATGAAGATGGTCTGTCTGCGGCTGCCGAGCGCATTTTTCGTTGGCTTCATCGTATATTTTATATATGCCTGGCCCGTTGTGCAGGCCTTCTAACAGCTTGTCGAGGGTTACGAAATTGTTTCTTGTGGCTGAATGCTACTCCTACTCCCGATCTTCGCCACGGCTTGGGGGGGGAGCAAAACACGGATGGTTCAATACGGCTAGCGCTCCGAGACGACTTGGGTAACCGGAGTGCCCAGTACGGAATGTTTGCATTGCTCCAAAACGGAATATGGGAGTCTGTTGAATCGTGTCCACCGACCTACTACTACTTCTAAAAGCTACACTGGCAGTTTGCATGCCGCTGGTGAAAACCTCATAGTAGCACCCTCTTACAGTGACTTTCGCCGCCGTCTAGCTAGATGGCTGCCAAGCAAGGAGTCTGTAAACGTCTAAGCTATACATGCAGCCCAAGATCATAGCCGAATAAGAAGCACTTTCGAACCCTCCGAGCTCCGAGAGACTGTACAAACTTTTGCTCCAACCGAGTACCTGGACAGTGGTTGTGGTTAGCTGAAGCGACATTGTGGAAAAAGTTTCAAAGTTCTTTAATTTGAAGCGAGCGAGAGCTTATTAGCAAACATTATTACTACTAAAAAAATTCTATCCTTCGGATGTCCATATCGCGCCGGAAATGCAATATGCTATTCTACCACAGTATGACCTTACTGTATGAGTTGTAAAAGCCACGGCGCCATGGACGTTTCAATTCTAGGTCCTCTCTCCAACTTCTATCGCAGAAACTTCATTGCCGGCGCAAACTTGGCGGATTTGATGAATTTGTCTCAAGAGAGCATCTGGGGAGCAAAGCGATGCCTTAAGGTCATTTACCTCACCCTCCAGCCACAAAGTCCATGACAATCTTCTCGCGCTTCATGAGCACCGAGCATATGATCATAAGGCCCCCTGAGACGATAACAAGCGAATAAGCGTAATCGATAGCCTGGACGAGCACGTCTAGAGCGGCCTGTCGGACATCCGCCGGTGCTGATTGCAAAACCGTACTTCTAGCACCCGCAATGGCAGCCCTGACGTCTGTAGTGGAATAACCAGCCGGGACGAGGATGGCAACCAGCCTATCGAACGCGACGTTCTGAAACACGGTGCTGCAGATAGTGAGGGCGATCAAGATACTGCCCTGCTGCGCTACATTAATGAACTGGATGACCTCGGCGATCTCGTCCGGTTTGACCTTTGTCGGCACAACCGAGTACGCGGCCTGATATGCCGACATACCAAGTCCCACGAGGATCGTGTAGCCGTAGACGTTGGCAACTGGCATCTCAGCCGTACTGGTATACAGCAATGCGCCGCCGATGGTGGTGAAGATGCCACTAGCCAGGAACCAAGGCATATAGTAGCCGAGACGAATCATGAAGACGCCATTGAGGACGACGCTGAATACGTAGAAGCAGATGAACGGGAGAAGACGCACTGCGGCTTGCACGCCATTGTCGTTCCGGACGAATTGGAAGTACAGCGGAATGTAGTAGATGCAGGCGAACAGCGCGCCGCCAAGGCAGGCGCTGCAAATGAAGAGCAGCAGCAAGGTCCTGCTGTAGAGAAAGTGGCCGGGGAAGAGTCTGTTCTCTTTGGTCGTAAACCAAGCAAAGTACTGCGTGACGGCAAACGCAATAGTAATGGCTGCGCAAACCACGTACAATGCTATTGTGCGCCCATCGTCCCAAGGCCAGATGGAGCCACCGAACGTAAAGATCATGGCGAAGGTGGTGTAAATGGCAGAGCTCAAGACAGCCCCGACCCAGTCGAGGGTTCGCACCTTCGTCCATACACTGACGCCTGGTCGAGGCTGGATCGATGGCAGCAAGAAGATATAGATGGGCCCCATTGCCGCGAAGATGAAGAGGTTCAGGTAGAAAGCCTGCGCGAAAATTAGCAAAGTCCCGCGTTGAAGCGCCACGGAGCACCTTACCCAGCGCCATCCGCTTTTCGAGCTGTCAGCCAAGGAGCCACCAATCACCGGCCCAAGAATGGCCCCCGCGCCGTACACCAGCACGATGGCCGACATGTAGACGCTGCGCTCTCGCGGTGTCGTCAACGTCTGGATCAGGTTTAGATTCCTGCGGCTTGCGTTTCAGCACTAAATAAGGTTAGGCGAGGCGGTGGCTGGCCATCTTACCCAAGGTACATTCCCGCTCCTCCTGCTCCGGCCCAAACACGCCCAACAATCAGTGCGTTCATGCTGGGTGCAGCGCCGCATAAGGCGCTGCCGGCCGCGAACATGGTAAGCGATCCGACGTAGAGCCATTTGACATCGAAAATGGCGTACGCCTTGCCGCTGAATGCAGTCAGCACCAGCCACCCAACGAGGACGAAAGAAGGCGTACATGGGCAAGATGATTGCGATGGAACCCAGAGGGAATCCGATGCCGAGCCAACCCAGCTTGTTGACACCTCCAAAAGACGCGATGATGGGGGGCTGGATGTTGGCGACAATGGTGTTGTCCAGGCCGTAAAGGAGATTGCACGAGAAAATGGCCAAGCAGACAAGAAACCAGCGCACTCCTTGGATGGATCTTGGGGGTTTGCTCTTCTCATCCCGTTGCTGCTCGTTGGACGAGGACGAGTTGTGCATCTCTTGGTCGAGGGCGAGCGCGTTGTCCGACATGCCGGCGGGTAAGAAGACGAAGTAGAGGATCTAGAAAACGAGAGACTTGGCGGTTTTGTGCCCATATCCCCATGTCGCCCGGAAATAGCAAATCGGACATAGTGTGCGGAATTAGCGTCCAAAATCCTAACTCCTTTGCAGCGCCAAGCCTTCCATGTCCTGTTATTGTGGCGCCTCCAAGGATCTCATGGGGCTTTCCGGGACAACTCCGATTACTCCTTCCGGTTAGCGCAGCCGTCCCGCAGCCGCAGCCGCAGCCGCGGCCGCAACCAATTCCTCTCGAGGCTAAGCCGCATTCCATAAGATTTAACCCACCACATCTCCGTCCTGTCTTGATGCCATACAGAACTCCATCGGCCTGCCACCATGCCTTCTGCTGAGACGTACGCGACCTATCACCGCGAGACCTACCCCTACATCGACCCTTCCCAGGCCAAGCTCTCTTCCGAGGGCAAGACAGTAGTGGTAACTGGGGGAGGCTATGGCATCGGCAAGGGAATCGCAAAGTCCTTTGCCAAGTCCAAAGCCGCCAACTTGATCCTGGTCGGCCGTACTCGTTCCATTCTCGAAGCCACCAAAGCAGAGCTAGAGGCCGAATATCCGGCGACCCGAGTGCGAGTTTTCGCGGCCGACATCACCGACTCCACAGCCATAACAGAGCTCTTCGCGGATGTCACTGTCACGCTTGGGCCTGTCGATGTGGTCGTCAACAATGCCGCCTTCTTGTCCGCCATCAGCACCATCAAAGACGCCGACCTGAAGAACTGGTGGCGCGGCTTTGAAGTTAACGTCCTAGGCACCACCACCGTAATCCAGGCTTTCCTACGGACCAAGCCTGCCTCCCGCAAAGGCGTCGTCATCAACATCAACACGTCTGTTGCCCACTACGGCGTGTTCCCGACGTACTCGTCGTACACGGCCAGCAAGATGGCCTCCCTGCGCATGACCGAATGCTTCCAGGCAGAGAACCCGGAGGTGCGTTTCATCAGTCTGCAGCCAGGCGGTGTCGACACGCAGATGTACGCGCAGTTTCATATGCCCGAGGACTACGCCATGACCGACATCCAGCTTCCCAGCGACACGTCTGTCTGGCTGGCCAGCGACGAAGCCGAGTTCCTTGCTGGAAGGCTTGTCTGGACCAATTGGGACGCGGAGGAGCTCCTCAAGCGCAAGGATGACATTGTCGCTGGCAAGGAATTGACGACTATGCTGAAGCCGATAGAGGGTGATTTGTACTAGTCATCAATCACAGATAGCTGTAGAACGCAATGAAACTTCTTTGACTCACTTGCCGACAAAAGCAGGAAACGCATGCTGGCTCGTGGTAGGATTTCATGGTCTGATAAATGACACACTTAGCCGTGCTTGCGGAGCTAGATGGCTGTCGCAAAAGTCTGGCAGCCTTAAGCGGCTCACAAATCACTATGAGCTAGGGCCCGTAGAGTATGAGAGATGACCTAATGAAGTTAGCCTGCTGCTGCTCGTCATAATTCATGAGCTAACAAATAGTAATGGCAATGATCTCCAACGGCTGTAGGATCCGATATGATTGTTGCACCCCGACGGCGTCACCCCTCAATTGGACGTCAATTTCAGCGGATTTAACGTCCAATTCAGTGATAATATCAGCGCTCCCTATCGGGCGCGCAGCGTTCTTAGCGAATTGGCTGTCCAATTAGGTGTATAGGCGTTGTTTTTCCTACCGTGCGCACCCGGTACGACCCATAAAACTGATTCAATAAGAAAATCAAACACCAGCCCAGCACCTAAAATCTATATTATACTACTACTTTTCTTTATTTTTAATTGCTAGGAACCTAAAGGGAGAAAGTTTATATTAGGTAGGGTCTTCTTTAAATTTTTTTTATATTTTTATAAATTATTTTTATTAAAGACATGAATCGCAATAACACGATTTGGACGTCCAATTCACCAATATCAGCGCCACGCTAGTAGGGAGCATTAATATCGCTGATTTGGACGTCATTCTCAGTGGATTTGACGTCCAATTGGGGGGTGACGCCGTTGGGGTGCAACATGAAGAGATCGATCTTCGGATGCGAGGTTCGGATCGCTCCAGAACTCCATACGGAATGTGTTGGTCCGACGCGAAATCAGCCCCCATATGCATGTGATCTCCCACTGCAGACTCCACAAACACACAATGCCACAAACAGGATGCACCTTCGATGACGTACGTAGTAGAATGAGCCGCAAGAGGTAACTGAAGCATTTTCTGGTAATTCCGGTCGAAGCTCCTGTTATGACCAAAAAGGCACCGGAATCTACACATGGATGATGAGCTGTTGTGTCTCGCACCGTACATGCGGAGAAAAAAAGAAAAAGAAGTTACATCAGCTTCTTAGGGTTTGCTTTTCTTTATTTCTTTTATATTTGTTCTAAATCGTTCTCCTTACTTGTTGCTTCTTTGACGTTCAGGCAATTTTTGTCTTTGTACCTAACAGACTCCCAGAATGCGATTGTTTTACGCAGCCGTCCTAGCGTGCGCCTCACTTAGGGTACTTGCAGACTTGCCAGTCGTGGATTTGGGATATGAGATACATCGGGCCATCGCAGTCAATGTACGCTACAGGACACGTCTACGTTAAAAATGAGAGAAGCGCGCTAACAAAATCTGAAGGAAACAGGGGATTACTACAACTTTACCAACATCCGGTATGGCCAGGCACCAGTTGGTGACCTACGTTGGGCAGCGCCACGGCCGCCTCAGAACAGCAGCGCCAATCGAACAATTGTGGACGGCTCCGAGCAAGGCGGCAACTGCCCGGTGACCTTTCCCTGCTGGTTCCAAATCCAAACTGCTTTCTCAAAGGCATACCTAGCGGGCGAGGCATTTGACTTCGATTCTTCATATGAAGAAGTTTACGCCGACGGGGCGTGTTCAAAGCCGACGCCTGCCAGTGAACGGGACGCCTCCGAGACGGAAGACTGCCTGTTTCTGGATGTCTTCGTGCCGCGGAGCATATTTTCCAAGCGCAACCTCACCGAACCGAAGGCCCCCGTGTTAGTTTACATCTTTGGGGGTGGTTATTCTGGTGGTTCGAAAGACGACTTTGGTTACTATGCGGGCAGTCCAGCTGGTTTGATCGACAGCAGCCGTGCCACGCAGCGAGACGGTATCATTTACGTCGCAATCAACTACAGGGTCCGCTCATTGCTTAATTGGCTTAGAATAGATTTGCTGACTGTTGATAGCTTGGTGCTCTTGGATTCATGTTCGGCTCCGATTACGCATCCGAAGGTGGTCTTTTGAATGCAGGATTATACGACCAGCGCCTGGCATTACAATGGGTTCAGCAAAACATTCATCATTTTGGTGGAGACCCTAACCAGGTAACAGTCATGGGAGAGTCTGCTGGCGGCGGGTCCATCCTCATGCAGATGACTGCTTTTGGAGGTGTTGAAAAGGCGCCCTTCCAAAAAGCAATCACCCAATCTGCTGCATGGGAGCCATCATCAGCAGGCCCGGAGTTGCAAAATCAGATTTATGGGCAGTTCCTTGACTTGTTGAACGTCTCGACCCTGGAAGAAGCAAGACAGCTCCCCTCGCAGCGGGTCATGGATGCCAATCACATAACGCTTGCCAACTCTCGATACGGCAGCACCTTCTTCGGACCTGTAAGTGGTTGTGAAATTCTAATTGGATGAGAACTGATTTCTTGAAAAAGGTCGTCGACGGCATTTTTCTTCCGGATGACCCGAAGCGCCTCTTGCGTGACGGCAAAACGGACACTTCTGTCAAATTGTTAACTACCATTGCGGCAAACGAAGGCCTCCGCTTTGCACCTGCCAATATTACCAGTGAAGCCGACTTCGAGCAGTTCGTTAACCTCTTCCTCAACCCGGCGAATGCCAGCATCCGTAGCTACGTCATCGAGGAACTCTACCCGCCCATCTTCAACGGCTCTTTTCCTTACACCGACCAGCGCGAGCGTGCTGGTCTCTTCTGGGCTGAGCTGGTCAGCACATGCAACATACAATACATGCACGGCGCCACTAAAGACACGGGTTACGCCAATCTCTTTGACGTCTGGCCGAGCCTTCACCAAGGCGATGTGCCGTATGTGTTTTGGAACGGCCCTCTTACAGAGTCCGCCGTCAACGGAACAGTAGCTCGTACGATTCAAGATTACATCACCGCGTTTGTCATCACTGGGGACCCGAACAACGAAGGTTCTCCTTCACTGGCCCCGTATGATAGGAAGACGCTTCTAGACATGTCAGGTGTTGGATTCTCTACTGTGAATGACCCGACAAATAACGAACGCTGTGCTTACTGGCACCAGGCCACGTATCAGTCATAGGAAGCCGTAACGCTTGTTGGCAAGCCGTAATGTAGATATGTGAAGGGAAGTAGAAAAATTCTGCTGTTTAATTTGGATTAGAGTAGTGAAGTAGTAGGAACTCTACTCAACTCACCTCCCATCATAACAAGTCTAGGCGAATTAAAAGAATATAAGCAGTCCCTATGGAATACTTCTTACTTAGTTATGTGTTTAATTTCTAAATATAAGTAAAGAGATCTTCAGGTACATATATACCTATAACAATCTTTGGGGGATCGTTTCTACTCCCTACACGCATCGTTGTCTCGTTAGGCGGCGAATCTCTCTTAGTGATGACGGAAGTTGGAAGACTTTACGTGTATTCTTATGTCCTAACATGTTCTTTGTTATAAAAGCTTACTTAGGAATAGATATCTTCTTTTTCTTCTATTTCTTTCTATTTCATTTCCAAATCATTCCTTGAAGGAATAAGGGCGTTTATTCTCAAATCCTTTTACCTAATTTTGAATTGTCTAATACTATGCGATGTTCAGCCGTCGAGTACGTTGGGTTTTGACGTGAGCTATAAGGTACAGGGGCAATGAGAAACGGATTGGCATTCACATCTTAAATTCTCGCTCATTGTACTCAAAAATCATTTGCTACAAAACTTAGGCATTGGATCCGACGCTTCATGCACCTTGAAATAACTGATTATCACAGGTCCTCCGTGTTCAATTTGACGCTTTCTTGCATGCTGGTCCACCCAGACTTTCCCATATCTCTCAACAGCTCCTCAGCGCGGGCGCGGGGAACAATCTTGCTAAGATCCTTGTCACTCTGAAAGTTTTCGGGGAACTTTTTACCAGGATACAGCTTACGCAGTATCTTCAGGATACTGTCGCCGTTACAGGGCTCGGCAAAGGCGAAGACACGCTCGTTTTCCACTCCGGGATGGATTGCTGCGGCCACATGGAGAAGTGCAGTGTCTTGAACATCGACAAAATACTCTGAGTAACGAATTAGTATTCAGCTACGATCAATCACAGGGCAACGTACGAGCTGGGAGGCCAGCGAATGCCTCGGTGTTACCCTTGAACAACTCCACAACAAGGCCTGAGGTAGACGGGTGGCCCTGATTAAAAGGGTCCAGGCTCTTACCAAAGTTGATATTTGGCAGAACTGCCGCTTGCATGTAAGAACATAGAGCAGTTTAGCTTTCAAAGAAGATACTCACCTGCGTTGAGCACGAAACCAGGCTTGTTTTCACGGACAAACTTCCAGGCCTCTTTTTCCGCCAGCGTCTTACTGGCGCAGTAGACAGGATACGCGCGGTTTCCCTCATAAGGTGGATCGCGATAAGCATCTTTCACTACCGCCTCGTTCCAAGTGTCGACAGTTACAGTGACTTCTTCATTGGGCTGAGGAATGAGAGCAGATCCGGACGAAGACGTAAGGACGAAACGCTTAACGCTTGGCTCAGCCGCAGCCGCCTTAAGGGCATTGCGGACCCCGCGAAGTGTGCTCGGCACAACCTCGTGTGGGTTGGGATTCATGGTGTAATTTGTGGCGGTGTGCACGATAGCAGCCACGCCTATGGATTTGTCAGCAGACATTTGAGATGCCATTGCACAGTTACTTACCCTTGACAGCTTCGTCGTAAGCGCCGTCAGCTTCCATATCGGGCACCGCCACGAGCTCGAACCGACCCTTGCCATATTTCTTGTCGAACACGTTGCTGACCCAGACATGCTTTGCGGGGTCACGTGAAGTGCCGCGCACGTTGTAGCCGTAAGTGAGGAGCTGGTCGGCGACATGCGATCCAATAAAGCCATTGCCGCCGGTGACGAGCACGGTGGAGCCCTTGGGAATGGCCGGAGTATGGATTGGAGACATGGTTCGCGATTAACTCGTGCTTCGCGGCGACCAAGGCATAAATTGCCCCCAAAACACTTTGCTTTATAGGTAGAGAGATGTGTTTAGAAGGATGAATACGGAGTTACGGATTGGGAAAGTGCGCAAATGGGTGGGGCGTGCTCCGACTGTTCCTTTGGGTTTCGGGCAAAGTCGCTTGCCTCTCCGGGTTAGTCTCCGGACATGCTGGCTAAGATTTGCGCGAAGCGCGGAATTACTCCCATGTCCCAACATCAGATCAAGGGGAAGTAACGAGAGCGTCTTTGTAATCACGCCCTTACCGGCGTTTAAATGTTTCTACTGCAGTGATTGCGCTTGGCTGCTTGAGTTAGAACACTCCTCAACAACGCCGGTCATGGAACACCAAGGCGAGCCCATTGCCGAGACTGTCAATCGGTTTCTAGGAAGCCACGGATTAGCATCTAGCAGCAGATCGTCCGTCGTCTTTGACCACCTGTCTGTCGAGGGTAGCGGACGAGGAGTGAGCCTACCCAACGGCTCCTTCCTGCATCCTGCTAACTTCATTTCTAGATCCAAGCCACACCGACAGTATGGACTGCTGTAAAGTCCTGGGCGAATCTAATTAATCCGATTTCCTACGCTCGGCCTGAACCGTCACGAACTCTATTGCATGCATTCTCCGGGTCGCTATGGGGTGGTGAGATGTTGCTCGTCGTCGGCAAGCCGGGGAGTGGCTGCACGACATTCCTCAAAACGCTGGCCAATATGCGCGATGAATACAAAAATACTTCCGGACAGCTAGTATACGGAGGCCGCCCTGCAAGTGATCGGGACCAAGATCGCGTGCGGTTGACCTTCTGCGGTACGTGAAGCCATCTGCTCCCGCGACCCTATTGAGCTAAGACGTGTAAATAGCGGAGGAAGACAGCCACCTGCCCTCACTTACCGTGGCGCAGACCCTGCGGTATGTTTTTGGCTCTTTAGTGTACAAGTATGCTCGCTGATATGTCTGTAGCTTCGCCGTTCGTGCTACGTGGGACGCGAAGACTCCAAAAGCTGCCATCCACGCTGCCGTCGAAACATTGGCTACGTGCTTCGGCTTAAACCACGTCTTGAAAACCATAGTCGGCAACGAAGCAATCCGTGGAGTAAGTGGTGGGGAGCGAAGAAGAGTATCACTGGCGGAAGCCGTAGCGACATGCCCGGAGTAAGTCGGCCACATTACTGACGAAGACTTGTTGCTAACCGTACATAGCGTCTTCTGCTTTGACAACCCTACCAACGGACTGGACTCCTCGACAGCTCTGGAGTTTATGCAGTTGATGCGCGAGTTCACCAACCAGCACGGGTGCGCTACGGCGATGAGCGTTTACCAGGGCAGTAACTCTATGGTCCCGCTCTTTGACAAAGTTCTTGTTATAAACGCTGGCCGCCAAATATTCTATGGCAAGGCCTCTGAGGCAAAGGATTACTTTGAGAGCCTCGGCTTCGTCTGTCCAGAGCGTACGACCATTACAGACTTCCTCAACTCAATGACAGCCGAACCAGAGCTGCGACATATTCGTGAAGGCTGGCAAATTCGCGCACCTTCAACGCCAACACAGTTTGAAGAGGCTTTCAGGCAGAGCAAGCACTACAAAACAATGTTGCAGGATATAGCCGCCGAGCGCAGTAAGACATGGCCAGTCGGTCCGAAGAGACCAGTGTACTCTCTGCCACTGTACTGGCAAGTGGTCGAGTGCTCGCTACGCCAGTTCAGGGTGCTCATCACGGACACCAACACCTGGATGATTGAAGCTATTAGCATCATTGTCCAAAGTCTGGTCCTTGGCACCCTCTTCCGCGACCAAGCCAGAGCAACGCAATCGCTCTTTATTCTCGGGTCGTCGCTCTTCAATTCGGTGTTAGTGCCTGCTCTACAGTCAATGAGCGAGTTTGGCAACACTTTTGCGCAACGCCCGCTGGTTATTCGCCAGAAGCGATACCGCTTTTATCGGCCCATCAGTTACGGCTTGGGGCTTGTTCTTACTGATGCCATTTGGAAAATCATTGCCATTGCCTACAACATCCCTCAATACTTTCTCACTGGCTTCCAACGGTCTGCCGACAAGTTCTTCACTTGGTTTTTTATCGTCTATGTCGAACACATGGCGCTATCCATGGTCTTCCGTGCCATTGCAGTGGCATCGCCAAGCATGGGACTAGCAGTGTTGCCCGTTGGCCTCATGTTCAATCTTTTCGTCCTGTACACAGGTTTATATGTTCCAGGACCACAAATGCAGGTTTGGCTGTTTTGGCTGAGGTACCTCAACGTAAGTATCCATCCACATGGTTGGTTGCGCGATACTGACCCATACATAGCCTCTTTACTACGCCTACGAATCCGTCGTGGCGAACGAATTTGGTAACCTAAACTACACCTGTAGCGCTAACGATCTGGCACCGTACGGCGAAAACTATGATTCGGTTGCGAACCAGGTTTGTGCAGTGCCAGGCGCCGTCCCTGGGCAGCCATACGTATCTGGGTCTGCATACATCCAGGAGCAGTACGGATTTCAATCGTCGCATGTTTGGAGGAATGTGGGCATCAACCTTGGAATATTTGCCTTTTTCGCGCTTTGCACCGCGTAAGTCTTGGTATCTTCGATTTATCTCACTAAGCTAAGAGGTTTGTTTCACTTCCAGTATCGGTATGGAACGTTACAAGCTCCCTGCTGGTCGACTCGCCACGATTTTTTACAAAGGCGAGCCTAAGATCTTCACTTCGGGAGCGAGTTCACCAGTTTCGGACCCTGAGAAGACTGTTTCCGATGAAGACGTGCCGCCAATAACCCGAGGGGCTGCGAAGGGGCAAGCGTGGGAGTCAGTGTCTAGCCATAATGGGCGCACACTGGCTTGGAAGGACCTCTCATTGGAGCTGAAGGTGGACAATGAAACGAAGCGTCTCCTAGATAACATTAGCGGTAAGCCATCTTTAGATTAGATTAGAAAATTCTCTTTGTACTAAACTGACAAACACACTCAAAGGGTTTGTAGAACCTGGACAGCTGACGGCTTTGATGGGTGTTTCTGGTGCAGGCAAGGTTGGTTCTGGACCAATGCAGTGAAAACCAGACAACTAATCGATTTCACAGACGACCCTCCTGAACACGCTCGCTGGACGCATGGAAGTAGGTACCCTTTCGGGTGACCTCTTCCTCGACGGAGGTCCGCTGCCTAAATCATTTCGGCGGTACATGGGCTATGCGCAACAACAGGATGTACACTTGCCGACACAAACAGTGCGTGAAGCGCTACAGATGACAGCCCGGCTCCGCCGGTCCCAGAGTGTGTCCGATGCAGAAAAGTATGGACACGTTGAACAAGTCATCCGCATGCTGGAGATGGAAGACATGGCCGACGCGCTCATCGGCGTGCCCGGGGCCGGGCTGAACCTGGAGCAGAGAAAGCGGGTGACGATTGGTGTCGAGCTGTCAGCCAGACCTGACATTCTGTTCTTGGACGAGCCCTCGTCTGGTCTGGACGGGCAATCGGCGCTCACCATCGGCCGACTACTGCGAAAACTGGCCAATTCCGGCCAGACGGTCTTGTGTACCATCCACCAGCCCGCGGCGGAGCTCATGGAGCTTTTCGACCATCTAGTGTTGTTGATGCGCGGCGGCCGACTGGCATACGACGGGCCCCTAGGCGATAGGTGCTCGACGGCGCTGTCGTACTTTTCTCGCTCCGCGGCGCCCTGTGGACAGGACGAAAACCCGGCCGAGTACTTCCTGCACGTTGTGGGAGCCGGGTCCAGAAACTTGGCTAAGGAGGACTGGGCCTCCCTGTGGCAGGCAAGTGCCGAGAGGGCAGCCCGCGAAAAGCAGCTGGACGGGCTGGTGAAGGCGCAAAACAGCGAAAAGTCGCCCCTGCATGCCGAAGGAACGCACGCGGTGTCGCTCCTTGTCCAGCTCGACACCACAATGCGCCGCACTTGGCTCTATTACTGGCGCGACCCCGATTACTTCGTCTCCAAGCTGTGGATGAATATCGGCAATGCGTTGCTTAATGGTCTAACGTTTCTCAATTCCGGCAACAACCAGCGTGGCGCCTATAACCGCGTCTTCTCCGCCTTCATGTCGCTGATTGTTGGCCCACCGCTCGGCCTCCAAGCAGAACCTCGATTCACCACTTTGCGCGACATCTTCCAGCTTCGTGAGAAGGCTAGCTTGACTTACAGCTGGCTCTGCTTCGTCATCCCCGCAATTGTCATCGAGCTCCCTTATGCCGTCTTCACCAGCTTGGTCTACTGGCTGCTCTGGTACTTCCCCGTCGGCTACCCCACCGAGCCGTCGCGCGCGGGATACAGCTTCCTCATGTACGAGCTCTTCTCCGTCTTTGCGCACAGCCTGGCGCAACTGTGTGCAGCGATCATGCCCAGTTTGAACTCGGCCTTTATGGCCAATGGCTTCTTCTTCATGTTCTGCAACACGTTCGCTGGGACCCTGTCACCAAAGCCGTCGACGCCAACCGGCTGGCGCTGGTACTACAACGTCTCGCCACTCTTTTACCTAGGCGAGGGAGTGACCGCGGACGTTCTCTACGACCTCCAAATCAACTGTGGAGCTTCCGAGACGTCAGTGTTCCAGCCACCTAACGGGACGACTTGCCAGGAATATGCTGGCGATTTCTTGCGCACCGCCACGGGCTACCTGCTCAATCCGGACGCGGCATCCAACTGCCAGTACTGCCGGTACAAGGACGGCCAGTCATACGTAAGTTTTTTGTGAATGATGTAACTTCACGTTGCTGACAGGGCACTATAGTATATTCAATACGGTTACGACTTCGCTCGCCGCTATAGAAATGTCGGCATCTTCATTGGGTTTATTGCATTCAATTATACTGTCGTCATTGTCATGACATACCTCACCAAGGTTAAGAAGTGGAAGAGGAACTGAGGATAAGTATGTTGCTTGAGTATCACGAATCAATTCAAGTAACCATTATAGAGGCAAAGTTTGTGTTCGGATGGCAAATTCGGAATTACCGTTTAAGAAGTTAAACTTAGATTAGTATCCGATTTTGAAACTGCGAACAATATTTGCACAGCATGAAATAGAACCACGTTGATAGAGCTTACCGCTATGGCTTGCACTAGGGAATAGTAAACCTGCTATAATACAAGTTTAAATTTAACAGTGGAAAGCGTAGTAGATTATAGTGTAGTAGAATTCTAATTGTATGGATATCTAAATATAACTGTCACGGCTTTTGGTGGCCATGCTTACACTGAAGACATGTACATAGTCTTAAAATAGTAAGATGTAAAAACAACGTAGAGAGAACTTTCCATAAGCTGATGATCTAACAGTCGATTAAATAGTAAAATGCAATTGTGAAGCTGGGCGCGAGGAATTAGACGCCGCTTGTCCTTCTAGATTACTGCTACCTATAGAGGTATATATGCTGCTATCTAAAAGAA